ACATGATGAATGTTCTTGTTGTGTCTGAAGAACACATTTTAGACTCAAGCCTCTTTTCCTATCTCCACTAACCACCACTATTACCACTAACATGTGGCTCTTGTCTGCAGCGGGAATGGATACAATCAGACTACACTCCCTGGTCAAACGACTCTGCAGGAGAAACAGGTTTTTATCGGCTTTGTCTCTGATTTGCAATGATGGACACATGACTCCCAGATGAACGTGCAAGTTCAGGAAAACAGCAGGTGAGTGTGCGTCTCAGTTTTAAGTGTGATATTGGGATGTTGAACATGATGCATCGGGGGAAAAACAGAAAGGCCCACTTCCCTACCGGCAATGAAAAATGAGCCAATTATCTTTTATTTTATTCTTTTATATTATTTTGAAGTAAAAGAGGTATTCAGGTACAGTTTTGTACAACATAAGCGGCATTAACCGGGAAATTGTGGCAGCAACTTATCACTAACAAAGCTGTTGGTCTCTTTGTTACTCCAAATAACACTTCAGACTTTTTTTTTTTACCAACTAACAAAAAATTTCAGCGCAATGTCTATCCTGTAGTCACTATACTATTGTTGTGAGTGTTGTAAGTATTTGTGTGTGTGAGTATTTGAGTGGACTACTTAGAAATGTAGGAAAAGGTTTTGAGGCAAAATTATAGGCTGTGCAGTGTATTTTCCACAGAAGATAACAATACAACTGAAAAGTGGTTCTATACTCTTTTGAAAATCTGTAAAATAACTCCACCATCATTTCAGCATATGTTTCTTTGCGCAAGACTTGAAACCTGCTGCCTCTCGACAGCCTCTCTAAGCATGTTCTGTAGCGGACTGTGGAGCCGCCAGCTTAATCCAAGTGTTCATTTTGACTTCTAAGAATTCAGATGACAGGCACAGATTTCACTGCACTCTGCACATAACTAGAAATTGATATGCATAATAAGTATATGAGCATTAAGAGTGTACTCACAATTTAAAAGTCAAATGTGACATAGGGAAATCAGAGGTGTCTTAAAAGAAGGAGGTAATGCTCAATAAGAAATGCAGAAGTGCTGCCTGAGACAGTCAGAGACAGGGTCAGAGACAGTTTGACAATCCAGCAGCTAATCTCCCAGATTAGTGAAGGTATTCATATTCATATGCATCCACGCAGAAACCTTCGGGACATGTGAGGGATTTTGATTCTTAAAACCTAAAGTTGTGGAGCTCCAAAAGCGAGGCTGGGTGGGGGGTGGGGGGTCCGTGCACAGGCCGATGGCTGTCAGAAGGGGCCGGGAGACGAGCTCTGACCAGCGTGTCACTGAGCGCTACTTCCACAGCCACCATCTTGGCTCATGCTCCCAATGCACCAAGTGCATGAGGAGAATTTAATTACAGACTATGGAGTCCCTGCACACACACACACACACACACACACACACACACACACACACACACACAAAGTGAGCAATAGCATTCCTGCACTCAGTGACCTCTCCTCGAGGCCTTTTCAACAAAGGCGGCTGAGTGAAGTTGGGTGGCGGAAAAAGGGGGAAGGTGTGGGGGATGAATGGGGTGGTGCTGCGGTGCTGTGGGGGTCAGAGAGTCCACGGAGCGTTACCCGAGGCTTCCCGCCCCAACGCCAAGGCTATTGACAAACACTGTGTTCTTATGTCGGTAAGACTAATGAGACTTAATAAAAGCAGCATGTGAACCGTCTGGTCACTCACGGAAAGAGGAAGCTCCATGCAGGGGGGGGGGGGCCTGCTCTGTGTGAACTCTGAAACCGTTCAGCTTGAGGACAAGGCAGAGCCGAGGATTGTGCAACGCACGTGGAATGTTATTGTTTGGATGATAGGTGTCAGAGGGATATGTGCACTGTCATTCATGCATTACTGAGAAGCAACAGATACAGGTTTGTGTCTTCAGCTCGTGCGCCTTCGGTTTGTTTAACCAACACCACAGGTTCAACACTGCAGGTACAACACTGTGCTAAACCTGCTCTCAGTCAGTTTACGTTACCAGCTGTTTAGAGAAGGAACTGTTAATAAGTCACTATCGACAATGTATTAATGTGTTAATAATATTTCAGGCAGTATTTATGCTAACTTAGCAAACAGCTTCTTTTTTTTCCCGACATCCTGCAATAACGTTGCTCTTATCAGTGTCTTATCACCATTAAACATTCTTTTAACTATTAATAAGAATAAATCTGCTGCTGATTAAAAATAAACGATTGACTTTCAACTTGTGAGAAATACATGAATAATCACAACACTACAAATATTCTCTAAACAGTTACAGTACAATCATTCAGTTTACCAAAAGACAACGAAGCCGAAGTCGCCACATGCTGACTCATGCCACGTATCTCCTGCCTCCTTCAATTCTAAAAGAAATGAAGCTCAGTGAAAGTTCAGTCAGGGAGACTGACATCTTGTGCATTCCACTTCTCCACATCTCCAGGCTCCACCAGCTCATTCTCTCAACCCGACCTGCGAGCCCTGTGCCAATCAGCTGTCAGTTTCAGTGCATCACTGATAGCTCCAAATTAAAGGGTATACGCAGGTTTATAAAACCTACTGACGAAAGGAGATGACTTCATTCTCATTGCCGGTAGAGGAGTTCGCTTTTCTGTTTCTGTTTTCCTGGTGCGTCATGTTCAATGTCACAAATGCTCAGTAAACTAAGGCGCTCTCACCTCGCCGTCTCGCCAAATTAGCGCTTGCTAATTTGATGCAGTCAGTGCAGAGTCATTTGACTCAGGAGTGAATGCTTTTTGTATCTATTCCCATCGGAGACAAAACCCACGTGTTAGTGGGTGTCAGTGTCGACCGGTGGAAAAGGGGCTTCAGTTCCCCCCCGCCTCTACATCTGCACCACCATAAACACTGGATCACTCTGTCCATTCAGAAGCCCCTCGTGAGACGTCCAGACTTTCAAGCTCCATTCCTCATCGGCTCCGGGGAGAAGTCTTCCTCATACCTGAAGCACCAAATTCACTCAAGAAGTGCTTCCATAGCACGCTCCTTCCCACTGGGGTGCCAAAGCCAATCAATCTGTTCTCTACCATTTCATTTGAATGTACTTATTTCTGTCTCTATAACTCTCTGTAATGTGTGTCCGTGTCATGAGTGATGAAGCAGTGAGGTTTGAAAAATTACACTTGACACTTATTTCTTGAAAATTCCAGGTGTGCATTTGTATTGGATTATTCAGCCTGAATGTAAAAATACGACCGCCGCGGACGAGAGCGAGAGAAAAAAAGGTTTCTTTGTATACAGTTACAGCTCTTGGGCCCAGCCCTGTCGAGTGTCAAAGTCAGATTAGTCTGACTAGTCTGTTATTTCGGAGGGATTAGATGAAACATGATCTGTGTAACAGCACTTTTTATTCTGCTGAAAACAAACATGCCCACATAATGTATCCAGCCTCTTCAGGAAGCTGTCTGCACAACAAACATCTTGTCATTAAAGCGCTCATGACAGCCATTTGCAACATATCGTGTACCGGGAATTCATGTTTTTTACTTAATTCAATATTTGGGGATTTCGTGAGGCTTTTCAGTCTGTAACAGCGACACAAGGTATATCCAGAGTAGCTCAGTAAATATGCACCGTGTGCTGAACAAGCACATGTATCATCCTGCATCTGCTCAGAGCAATGACTCATAGGAGAAGTGTTCAAAGCAGAATCCCAAAGCATGAAAAAAAAGTCTTGCTCAGAGCGAGAGACGTGTCGGTCAAAGAGTCATCATTTCGAGAGCGACGATGACTCATCTCCAAGTGATTCAAAAGCGTTTGTGGTCACCAAGATCGGACTGCCAGCCAAAAAGAAGCGGCTGCCTCGGGAGGGGCGAGTCCAGACAGAGGCACAAAGACGTAAAATGCAGTCCTGTTGTCAGCGAGTGAGCAGGCATGTGACCCAACGCCAAATGCCTTTGATTACATCAATTACTGTGAGCCTGACGGTGCCTCAGGGAACGATTTAACCGCCATTCATAACGGAGGCTGCCACAGGCCGACCGATCAGGATCAGGTTACGTTAAGGACAGCTCCTCCTTCACAGGAATACATCCAGATACAGACACACTGAAGTTGGCTATTTGTGTTACTACTGTGCACAAACGCACAACAAGTTTACATCTAAACTTTTAAAACTAGATTCACTTTTATTACTTTGACACAACTTCACTTTGTGTCTTAAAAAGCCTAAATGCTAAAAAACTACATTTTTAGATACATTTAGTACAGGTTCACAATTTTGATTTTTTTTTTATAAATATTTTTTGCAGTTTGTTTTTCTTCTCCTGTTCTAACATTGTATTTAATGAGGTTTTAAGTTATTATATTTAATTTGTGTATTTGCTCCTTCCAACATGTCAGTGAAATAACATGATACATCTACTGTGTGTGAACTTTGTAATCTTACAAATGTTGTTCTTTGTTTTTCTCCTTGTTCACATGTTCTCCATTTTCACATGTGATGAATTTAATACTGTGTTCCCCGTATTGCCCAGTTTATTAGGTACACCTGCAGAGTCTGCTGCAATGTAAAACAACAGTTCTGTCATAAATTTAATGTTCATGACATTTTCAGGTCATATTGACATTAATGGATGCATGTGAATTTAATTGTATTTTTACGTCTGCAGAGGAGGTTATGTTTTCACCTGTTAATTCCTTTGTTTGTTTCTTTTTAACTCGGTTAAGACAAAAGCAGTGGAACACATTTCCATGAAACTTGGTGGAAGGATGTGTCATGGGTTATTATTTTTACATTTTCCCCTTTTCCCCAGGGCACTGGATGGATGTTGATCAATTGTTGGTCAATGCAGAGGTGAGTGCCATTATTATTGAGCACACAGTTAAAAAGGGATTTTGTACATTTTAATGAGAGTTTTTTTTTTTTTTTTTTTTTTACCAGTGCACCATCTATGACATCAATAATGAACCATATAATCAAATAACTGCAAACTGAAATTTCCAGATATGATAAAAATAGATTTTATGGCAGAAACGTTACACTGGATTGTACATGTGAACCTAATAAAGCCACAGAGCAGCTCTGTCCTGTGGAAATGATGTTTATATCCAACTAATTGGCAACAGCAAATATGTCTAGTAGAACACATGATTGGGACCAAACCATATTCTCTATTAACGTAATGAGGACATATTTTTGATAGTCTGCATGTTTGGCAAGTATGGACTGAATGTAGGAGTCATTTTTCACAGTCTGGCTTCAAATAGAGAAAATGACTTCAGATATGACATGTTTATTTACACTGAACCAAAACCATCATCTTTCCCAAAACCCTGAGTAAAGTGCTTTAGTTGCTGGAACTAAACCACAGATGGGACTCAAATCACATTCCACGTTATGAGCTCACACTTCTGTGGTGCGGTTACACCAGACATTGCTTCCCATTCATTTGTGCGGCCCTACACAATCGATCACCCGCTTCTGAAGTTCTGTAAGATTGACCTACGGTTTGAAAGCAGGGAGATGGTGTTGGTTCATATCATTTTTTTGAAACTATAACAGAGTAAATAATTAAATGCTGCCTGGCTACAGAATGTCGTGGACTGCTGTTGATAGCCCGCTAGACTCATTTGATATCAAATCCATCACATTTGTAAGAACTACTGCAGTGCCTGTTCTGACCCTGCCTGTTTCGGATTTGTTTGGCCTGCGGTGATGCCGGTTGCAGCTTTCTTTCTGAAACTGTAAAAGTGACTTTTAGTAATTGTCCGCATGACACGGAAGCCGCGGCACTGCTGCTGCACAAAGAGCTGTCCACCCGTTTGGTGAAGCTTGACTCAGAACCCTGAACTGGAGAATCATTTGTCGAAAAAACGCCTCTTGTCATAATCGACAGTGTCAGTTTTGTTGATGAGAACCAGCCGCTGCTGCCACAGAGCGCCGGTCGTCTGGTTATTCAGGTTCATTATTACTGAATGTATCATGTGTCCGAATCCTACCAAATTTGACACTGCACTTCCTTGGGCCCTTACAAATGCACATGCCAAGCATGAAGCTGATAAGATAACAGTTTGCGAGATATGCAAGACACAGACCGAGATGACAGACAGAGGTTTCTTGAATTGATAGATAGAAAGAGGATCTGTAGAACACTTTCTGTTCTCTTCACCCTTCCTAAATTTACACCTCATCGGGCTCTTGGTGGTTCTACACCAGCAGAGACCATGTCAGGTTCACTCCTGTCAGCCAAGAACAGAAATGTGAGGCTGCAGTGACACAGACTCACCAACACTGGACAGTTGAAGACTGAAGAACATAGCCCTGGTCTGATGAGAGTCACAATCTGGAGCATGGATCTATGGAGCAGAGGCGGATCTAGGATTTTTCTCAATCAGGGGCTGTACAGGTGCTACAATTATATGTCAACGTCCATGCACTGACTGAGTCAAGCTAACATTTCAGTTATTCCTTGTTCAATATTTGCTCTATAGCTTTGAGCAAAGACACACATAACTGAATATATTTTGAAAATTCTCGGTTCCTTAAGCACAGTGTGCTTCAAAAAAACCTAGAAAATAGCAAACTGTCATATTTGTTAGATTTTTTGTATTGTTGGTAAGTTACTAGATCATTTTAAATGAATCAACATTATAGTGAGAGGTCTACCAGATTTCCGCTTGGGCCTCCCCTGCCCCCACCCCTGGATCCACCCCTGCCATGTGTCAACAGTCCAGGCTGCTGGTGGAGTCATGGTGGGTATCTGAGTATTGTTGCCGCCCATGTTAATCTCTTTATAGCCACAGTTTACCATCTTCTGATGGATGCTTCGTGCAGGATAATGCTCCATGTCACAAAGAAAAAGCCGTTTCACGATCATGACGGTGAGTTCACTGAACTCAGACCTGACCAGAAACTAGTAGAACACCTTTGACATGGGGTAGAACAGGAGATTGAATGTGCAGCTGACAAATCTGCAGAAATAATGTGATGCAGTCATGTCAACATGAAGCAGACTATTAAAGGAACATTTCCTTTTTTTTGTTTCCATGACATGAGAGAACTGAGGCTGTTTTGAAAGCAAAGGGAGGAACTACTCGCTGATAGTAAGAGTTTCTGACAAAGTGCACGGTAAGTACATGCTTACAGCGTGTTTGCTCTGGAGGCTGTTTACACGGTGAGTGGACCTGGATCAAACTAAGCCGCTTTGTCCTGAAGTCTAAAGAGTTGCAATCCTTTAAGACAGCCCAATCACTGGGTGACAGTTCCCTGTCTGTCACCGCTCTGGCTCCGGCTGGAGATGAGAGGAGTAAACAAACAGGAGTGAATGGGGTGTGAGAGATGAGTCATCAGTTCTGGGCTTGCCGTCGCTCTCTGTGTGCCTCTCACAGTCTGCTGCACATCCGCTCCCCTGAAGGCCCTCGTCACCACAGGCATACTTCAGCAATTACCTTCTCGCCCACACACTGTCAGTCACATGGGCCGTAATAACAGGCTGTCGTGCTGTCCCACTGCAAACTCACTCACACACACACACACCCACACAGGTTTGCATCACTATTCTTATCAGATATCGGATTTGACTTCCTTTCAGTGTAGATAGCCTAACCCAAGTCTAACGGTAAGCTTTAACCCTAAAGAACTAATAACTCACACTAACCGTAACCCGACCTCATGTCACATCGTATCCCTAAAGACCTCAGACATTAGATTTTGCTTCATTAGGAGATCTGGTTCTCATGAAAAGGTCGGCGTTTACAGTGGAAAAGGTCCCAAATGGCCTATTTATCATCTATTTATCTAGTATTATGCTTCCAGTCTCACTCCAGTAAACTGAATGCATAAATGCATCTCAGACCAAGCAGTAAATAGAACACTATCTTGACATTTGACCTTTTGTTCTGCTTTCCGTGGAGCTTTTTCTCATGCTAAACTGTGCAGGTTGGATGCAGGCTTTGCGTTGACATGTCAAGAACCTGGCTTGTCGTCAGCCAGCGTGACTTTCTGCTGAAAAAAAAAAAAGATGTGAGCTTTACATCCTGACACCAACGTCTATAGCTGAGAGAAAACTGTTATATTCTCACTTCTGGGGCTGCTCGAAAATACACACACCTCACAAGTTGCATATAAAATGTTGGGGTTTTGCTTATGCTGTAACATAGACATTGTATTTGTCGTTTTCTTTTCGCACTTCCCACTCATTCTGTTTTGAACCTGTGAGAATCTGTTAATCTCACTGTCGCTCAAAGATATCTCAACGCTTACTCATACCGTCCTCTCCATGAGGCAGCACATTCAAAACCAGCATGTGACACGTTGACTAGCGGTGGTAAATAAATAGGACCACTCACCTGACAGACAGTGATCCTGTTCCGCACCCTCACAGTCTTATTTACCCCTTTTGATTCTTCTGTGTGGGATGTAACAACATACATTTACTTTGTTACTGTACTTAACTACATTTTGCATGTATCTGTACTTTAGTTTTCACTTTTACTCCACCACATATTCAGCGATTACCTGCACGTTCTCCTGCACCTTTAACAATGCATCGTGTTCCACGTTCACATTTTAAAGTAATAAATAACGTGTGGGTTATAGGTCCGCTGATCCAATCAGAGCGGGGAGGTGACGTTGGACTCCGCCTCCTTCAACAAGAGCAAAGGGCAGCAGCAGCATCAGTGATGAAGAAACATCCTGGATCTGAAAGAGGAGGAGACTCGGTCATAATGATGTAGTTGACCGTTACATTAGCGAATTGGCTCCACTGTGCAGGTGCTTTTACTTTCAATGTTTTAAATATATTTAAAAGCAATTAGAAAAGCCGACGGTACTTTTACCTGAGTATATTTTTGTCTATTTCTGGAAGTTACTTAAGTACAATATTTGAGTACTTCCTCCCCCGCTGATGCATCTGTCATGGATGTTCATAAACATACTTATGCATACTTAATTTTGCGTTTTTGGCATTTACTTCAGCATAGTTCCAAAGTTGGCAACTTTTTTAGACATTTAGAGTTTACAGTGTGTATTCATACTGGTTGTGTTTTCTGCTGGTCAGTGTACTTGTACTTGCATCATGTTTTTTGGTTTTCTGTAAACTAGAAGTGTATATTGTTGGGATTAAATATGAATGAATGTATCTGTAAGCTGCAGTTTATTATCTCCTGTCTACACGAGGTTCTTTAAGGCTATTGCAAAGCAGTGTTAGGAAAGAGGACAACTAGCTGGTCAGCATTCTATTTCAGGTGGAGGAAAAAGTGGTAGACAGGAGCAAGCCAAATTGAACCACTGTCAACAGCTCTTGGTAAATAAAGGAATGACGTTTGATGCTGATGTTTCTTCTACACTCCAACAGTTGCTTCTTAAAACTCATTCCAGTGCCTGGATCAACAGGAATGTAATATATTATTTATAATTGTTCATTAGTGTATAATCAATAATCTATATTTGTATTTACATAAATCTCATCATCTCTTCCAGTGAGCCCACAGTGTTTCCATGGACAGACACCAGCTCTTTGTGTTTTTACGTTATTTGAAGAGTGCTCCAACACAGGGTATTTGCCATGCCACTAAATCTGACACGCTGAAACTCCAACCTTGTTTCAGTCGTATTTCTGTTGCCACTTCAACTTCTTTCAGTGCTTTAACTTCAAGATTATCTTACCTATGACACTAGTATAGGATTTAAACACATTTAAGTAGTTTCCAATGTTTCCAAGTTTGCACAAAGCAGCGCCCATTGCAACGCAAGTGTCTTAGCTTTACTTTCAGATTGACCCAGGTGTCATTTTTCCCATCCAGTCCCCATGTTGTGTTTGGCACGACACAAATAAAACTGAACTGAATTAAATATTGATTAAATAGAAAAAAATATATACTGAAGCCTACCTACTCATCCATGCAGCATGCTGGTCAAAAAATGAGGAGTGGTCAGGCGCATCAATATCCGAGGCAGCAGAAAGCCATTGCACTTTGGACCTATAAAAACTTTAATTTAAAGTGCAATATCAAGATAACAAAATGCAGGTATTCATAGTTTGGTGCACAACATACGTACACTCTGCATAATACACACATGATGGTCTGCCCATGTGCCCAGTTAAACCATTTCCTGTGCAGAGAAACTTCCAACTGACAATCTGCCAAGGTGCAGGAGCAGTTTGCTCTAAACAGAATGGGAGATGACACCCTGATGATTTATTTTGTTTTGCATCCAAAACACACCCTTTCCAACAATGCGTCTGGCACGGCAGCCCTTTTTTTTTTTTTCCACTGTTGAAAAAGTGGATTTTGGACTCGTTCTAAATGAACCCGCGACATTCCTGTGTCAGAGTGTGAGCTTAGATCGTTAAATCAGAGCACTGACAGTGGGAGAGCTGGTTTGTGTGACTTGCAGACTGAGTGGGTGGTGGCTCCTCGTCACCTTCCACAGTGTGGGGAGTGAAATTCGTACCTGCTGAGTTCCACCAGGCTGCAGAGAGAGATTTGAGCTCTCGCTCCCTCTGACACGCTTCAAATCACAACTCTGCCTCTTTAACGTGAATCATCCAAACAACCACAGATACATCAGACTACATTAAAGACATTGTAAATAAATAAACCATCAAAATATGTATTTGTTAAAACCTTTCCTTCCAATATCGCATCAGAAAAGGAGCAGCTGCTCTCACTCTCCCTCCCGTCACCCTCATTAGTGCCCCTGTGAATAGGCCCGCAGTGAAATTATGAATGGAGAATGACGAAGTGGAGTTCTGTTCCAAATAACAAATTAATTCATGATCCCAATTAGCATTCGTACACAGCTACTGAGGCTTAATGCAAAGTGTAATTACATATTGCAAGGAGTGGAGTAAACAGAAACATCTGATGCCACAACGTGAAGACTTCTGCTCGTCTCACATCTTTGAGAGTGCAGAGGAGACCTCATCGAGCTGTTGAATAATCGCCTGCAGCCACTCTAAAGACCGACCAGGGATTCCTGCAGATTAATGGAATCCTAACTGGCACAGAGCGCAATTTATAGACCAACATGCAAGATATTATGACCCAAATTCTGTCCATTATTGAAAACGGCAACATCTCTCTCTGCCACTGCTAGCCTATTTATGTCATCCAGTTTCCATGGCTACCATGCCATAGATAAAATCTAAAGCACACACCGGTTTTCAAGTGCAACATCAACTTTGTGTTGTAGAGAGAGAAGAGGGACGACACTACTGCCTTACATTCATTAATACACTTTTGAAAAAAGACAGTAAGCATCCATGAGCTCATGATCTGCGTCAAGGTGAAAGCAAGACACATTGTGTTCATTTGAAAACAGAGTAAATCATAATGCAGAGAGCTACTGAGGATAAAGGCCTGTTCATGTTTCTGTGTGGAAACTACGGCGTAGCCTTTGTGTAGACGTGCACCTGATGCAGAGCCCTACACCGTACTCTGCCGTGCACCTCCCCAAAACGTAACCATGCATCGAGGCAACGCAGACTGCAAGGGCTGTGATTGGTCCACTGGCAGACTCGCCACCATTTTTGAATTGAGTTGTAGGGATGAACACTAACGATGTCTTTCTCTTCTTCGTTGCTGTTCTTTAAAAATACATTTGCTCTTCAGCATCTATGAGCTCCAACTCCAACATGATTCCCTAAGTAACACTCGCCAAGGTTCTGAAGCAAACAGACGCCGGAGAATTGGAAAGAAACGGACCAGAAACCAGAAGAAACTCAACACCAGCTGTAAGAAAAGGCAAACACTGTTCTCACACTTTAGTAATGAAGAGTTCAGAGATTCCCAAACATCTCCTCACACACAGGAGCAGGTCCTACAAGCTTCTGCAGCAAACACATTAAACAAGAATCAGAAACTTTTTCAGACTCACAATCTGAGTAATTCTTTGAGCAGATAGTTCCTGGTTTGAATTTAAATGTTGCCAATAGGTTAAGTTCTTGTGTTGTGTTTAGACATTAAACATTTAAAGGTGAAGTCACATGCAGATTTTAAAAAGCTGGATATCAAACTCTAACCTCTGGTATCAAAATGTCTACAAAGAACTAAATATTATCTTTAAGTGTGGAAAAATAGAATATTCTATAGGTGTTCTCTTGTTCACTAGTTCTTACTCTTTCATTTCCAGTTATAATTCGATATTTACTTCAAACTTTTAATAAATACATTTTGCTTTATGTTTTCAGGGATGCTTTAACACGGATCATAAGAACTTGAGTTCCTGAATCTGACTTATGACTGAAACTCAGGTAACGTAATGCTAATCAAAAGCATTGCCCAGATCTATTTGATCAATCAATTCAATTTGATTTGTTCAGCCCATATTCACAACTTGCTTCATACGGCTTAACAAGGAGCAACTTCCTCTGTGCCTAACCCGACAGGGGTGAAGAGAAATATGCAGAAACATCACAGAGTCCAAGGATGGACGGGAGTGAGATGTGAAGTACAACAGGGCACATCAGCAAAATCACAATATTTACAACATTCAACACGCCGGCATGTTAAAAAACAAGCTCCGAGTTAAATGTCACATGTGGGGTTTCATCTGTCCTTGTGAAAATCAAAAGCTTAAATAAACAATGACACCACCACACGCAAGCCAGATGGTTGCCTTCCTCTCCGGGTCACACACACACACACGCACACACAAACACACACACACACACACACACAGAGATCATCACCCTGGTCTTCCTACCAGCCTCCGTCAGGCCAAACACTACATTTCCTTCTGAGAACAAAAAAGCTGAGGACAAAGCTGGCAACCACCCTTGTCTTCCTTATTTCCACCAGTTCAGTGAGGGCACACACACACACACACACACACACACACACACACAACCTGGCTGGAGAAGGAAGATTACATCATTTCTCCACAATGAAATGACTCATTGTTCCCCATTTAGCTGCAACGCCAAATAGCGACAGTGAAAAAAACCCAGTAGCCTTTGTCAGCAGATAAATTGGATCTGAAATGTGAAACCTTTTAACCTTTGTCACTGTGCTCTCACTGTCAGCAGTCAATCGGGTCAGAGTCAGGGTCCTCACTATCATGCTGCTTATGTAACTCAATCTATTTCTATATGAGATAAATCATTTCAGTCGGAAACAGCGGCCGTTCACACTCAGTCAGTAAAGTGTGTCGGGCCGGGCCCTGTAGAATGACAGAATGAGGCCTCACACTGATACTGGCCATTGATACACTGAAGATATTTAGGCTTCTTTGTCTGTGAAAAACAACCTCACTGACAAAGACTGGATGTTCAGCACCACCTGCTGGCTGAAGGGAGTCACGTTGGATTATTGTGTGAGCTGAGTTTTCGCAGAGGCAGAGCGCAGGAGAAAGATTCATTGAGAATCAGCAAACAAAGGAAACATGCCATGTGCTATCCATGAATATAGAAGTACATGTGATACCAGGGTGCTTCCACCTCATCTGTTCACTAGTGTTAATAAAAAGACTTCACACTGACTGAAAGATTTCGACTACTTCTGAGATTATTCAAATTCATATAGTCATGAAATAATTCTAAAGTGTTGAACGATGACCTACAACAATCTAACATTTAAAAAAGTGTGGCCTCCCCCCCTCCATTACAACATGAATATTATTATAATAGAGAAACATGTGATATAGGTACAAATTCATTGTTTGTTATTACCACTATTATTAATGAACATATTTAATTGTGAATATCTCATATCTTGTTATTCTTTAACTCATAGATCACGTGGTCTAGCTCACACTTGCTATTCCCTAATTATAATTTATTATTAGACTAATCATGCACACACACTAACACCACCCACAACATGCACCACCCTCCTGTTATGCATCTAATTTTATTTGTACTATCCATTTATTGTTTTCATTGCCAAAATAAAGGGAATGCTGTAATAATCTTTCATATCTTTGCAAAAACAGGCATCAACACACTTTTCTCTGAGAGATGATCAACAAATCACTTCTGAGTCGCCCCTGTCATTTCCTCAGTCTGTATTAGAATTGCAGATACAAACTATAACTGGCAGTGTTACCTGGTCACAGACAAGCTGGTGAAGAGTGGATGAAGAGTCAGTTTATATTCACTGCAAGGTTGATTGTAGATGGGAAACAGGTGAGCGGCGAGGGGGAGGAAGAGGAGGAGGAGGAGGAGGAGGAGATGCTTAACCAGGTAACAAGGAGGCAGGATGATGACGAGCCACAGCTGCCACAACACAGAGAGGAAACAGACAGACACAAGGGAAAACAGAGACAGCTGGGGACTTGTCTTCTAAAAGACAAAAAGCAGATACCTATATTGTAAATCATTGAATTCTAAGAAGAAGACACATTTTAACATTAAGTTCAGGTTGTAACTATGGTTAAAGTTCTTCAGGAAATCAGCTTTGGAAGGTTCATGCAATTATTATTATTAGAACAATTATCCAAACTGTGAATGATCAACCTGGCAAGACCACACAACACACATACACAGTGTCTCTATTCAGAGGCTGCATCCCTATGAGGACGCGGTCTTCGTGGGCTGCGTAGACTGTGACAAAATGAGATGGTCTGGTCTACAGAGGATTTCTACGTCACCAGCTTGTCCCGGCCTTATTGCTGTTTCCTAGCAACAGAGCTCCACTTGGAAATGCAGAGAAAGTTTTAATACTTTCTCTGCAAGTATTAAAACTTGCAGTGTTGTAACATATTTACCGTTTTGTAACATATTTACCGTTAAGTCATCGGACGTCTCAACGGTTGATCCCTGAAGTGCAATAGTCCTGGGACGGGTTGGTCCACGCAGGATCCACCTGTTGGAGCCTTCTTCTAGTGACGCCGTGACGCAATCGTTCTTCAAACGCAGCCTCCAAAGGACGAAGCTCCTGAATTGAGCCGCAGAGGTTCCGTCAGAGTGCGACTTGAAACCAGTGTATATTCCATGGGAGATACGTCAGCAAACATTGTGCATCCTCCTGTAAACAGAGCTGCGGTGACAGAAAGAGTTTGGGCACAAACAACCAACAGTAGAATATATTTACAATGTGTGAGCGCAGCAACGGCTCAGGCCTGAGATCAACAAGAATTATGAGCAAACAAACTGATGGAATTGACATAACACAACATCAACATGTGGGTAATTTCACCTGTCAGCAGAGAGGAAGTCTATATTTATTCCACTCACACAGACGAGTCAGTGATGAACTGCAGCAACATGTGTCTGGCTATGATTAATGATCACACTCCTCATCCAAATGTGGATTTGAGCGGATGACATTTCTGAATCCTACTATGTATTGTTTTTTTTCTATAAAGTGAAATATGACAAATCATAGAAAATCTAAATGTCTGCATCTGTTTTGTGCTTCACCAACAAAGACGATTCCGACAGAAACAGAACCCTGGTGGACTCAAGCAGTGAGTGAAAGTCCAGCTCTGACCCAGCAGCAGAAGAAGGTTTATTGGCTGAGTGACACATGTATTCCTGTCCCACTCGCAGTCACGCCGTCCCATCCACACGCTGACATATACCCCACCGTCCCCTGCACACGTCCACAGAATGTGCCACCTGTGGAATCCGTGAGTCCAAACTGTGACTTCCTTCAGGGTGACATGACCGACTAGGCCTAACACTTCCTGTGTGGGACATCAGTAAAAAATGATTCACACCACTCTTTACAGGAAGTGTGGAAATACCTCTCCTCTCCATCCTTCGGCACTTCTGTTAAAGTCACCTCACAGCTTCAGATCTTAAATACTACTTTTTATTTACTATTTTCATTGAGTCATTAGTTTCTTCCCATTATGTTCAGTGATGCTGCACTGATGGTTTTGGTTATTGCTGTTTACTTAAATGATTTTTACTCATTGTTTTATCACTTATGTGTCAGAATGGCCTGGTTCAGCCTTGATATACAGAAGGTTCCCTAGTTGTCGGGTACGTTTGTACTCCTGCTTATTTAGTGCTTGGGTTTAGTTGTGTTACGTTGACCCTGTATTACTGTTTCATGTATTTTGCAAATATTTTTGTATTAAAAAAAGAAATTTCTCTCAAGATAGCACCTGTGTCTATTTGCTCTTCCTAACCCTGACCCCATTTTCTTTCTCTGTGCACACCGACCCACCCATGACTCCCTGCAATACACTAACCTACTCCAGAAAAATGCTACTTGAGATATGAGGGTCAATCACGTGCTGTCATGAAGAGAATAATGACGTTCTGCTGTGAGCAAGGATTATACAGAGAATCTAACAAAGCGCTTTCATTTCACAGATCTAAACACAAAGGACAGTTCAAACCTGAATGGATATGAGACGATGTTTCAGGGTTCATATTTGCTCATTAGCTACATAAGCATTTAACATACTGTTATGTGACACAATGGGGAAAGATCTTTTAATCTGGAAACAACAATGCACTTCTGGGACACAATTATTTAGTCTTTAAGTAAAATGCCCTGTTATCAAACTTGGTATCTAATTCCAAAGTGCTGAGAACAAACTTTAGTGTTGATTTTAAACTGCGTGAAAATGTTCTAGTGAGTAGAATGGTTTTCATCAGTACACAATAAAATGTGTACAAAGAGAGGTCTGATATTCCAAGTCATTATTTTTGCTTTTTCTATATAAAAAAAAAACATTTTCATGACCATGACAGTTTGGTTAATTAAATTCCAGCTTTCATATTGCAAGTGTGCTGTACATGCATAAGAGCCAAACATTTCCACAAATAAAACCTGCATCTTTTCACCATTCAGTTTATTTCAGAATGCCTTGTTCTCCGTCATGTACTGTACCTCATTTCCCAAACATTCAGGAAACACTGTGTGTGTTTGTGTGGCAGCGAAGAAGAAAACTGATCGGAGGGAAATCGCTGAGATTTCCTTCTGTACAGCAACAGTTTCAGACTCTTCATATCTTGGAACTCTAAAAACAGAACTGATCTAAATGAGAAATAAAATTTGAACACGACCAGAGGAAAGAAGCTATTGTGCAAAAATACTTGGGATGAGAGAACAAGAAAAGAAAAATGATATCAAATGCTTCTTTTTTGAGTACTTTTTGGGATGTGAAGCTTTTACAACATCGTCATTGTCTTACAGACGTACATTCCTCTCAGTCCTCTCCTTCCATTCAATGTCCATCATGAGTTTTTTTAGCGTTCATCCCCACTAAATGTTACATAAAACAAGCACTTAAAATGCAGGCAACTCCTAAGGCAACATGTGAACTAAAAACTAACTACTCTGTATAGGGAATTATAGGCCCATCTATTTTGCCTTTAGGGGCATTCCCAGATAAAATATGTCCTAATGCAAAAACATGACACGAGAGCTATCATACAAAGTGAACTACTGATAGAAAAGACAAAAACATGGACACGCAAAAACAATACTGAAGTCAAAATAAAAAGGGAATCCATAGCTCGAGACTTGGGGTTGGCGAATCCTTTTGCTGTGATGTCTGACATCAAGTGCATCCCTGTCTGAACTGAACACATTACCTGGAGAAAGTAAACCTGTGGACGGGCTCATGCTCATGAAGAGAGAAGGGAGAGATAAATACGTTGATTTAAGGAGAGTGTGTGTTTTTGTATAACAGGGATTCCACGTTCACACTGTAGAGCTGGTTTCGAACATCCTCGTTTCTCTGAAACTTCTGCACCACGATTCACACTTTTTCGCTGAGAAGCCTTTTGTCTTGGTTTTCACATTGTGGAAGGACGGTGCGGCTGTCAGCCAATGAGGAGTGGGTACACACTGACCGGGCAAGCCCAAGACGCCCTGAGAGCAAAGGCGAAGAGACGCCCCAACCCGCGCTCGTCTGCCCGCCGTCGCACATCCACGGACAGCGCTGCGGCTGACCAGCAGGTCGGTCCAGGAGCGTAGAAGCAGGGTGGGGGTGCAGTGATTGTTTGGTCTGCGGTGTCACAGAATTCACTGCAACCATGTGCAAATGTATGTACAGTGGACGTCTTCCTGCCGGACAGGAGGACAGGTCTGAACGCAACATGCAGGACACAGTAGAGTGCAGGTCTCTTTACAAAGCTGGACTGGGAAAACGTGTGTGTGTTTGTGTGTGTGTGTGTGTGTGTGAGCAGAGCATGAGGGTGGGTGGTGTGTATAGTGCAGGGGGAGGGAGCGTGGGGGGGGAGGCAGTGGAGGGGAGGGAGGGACAGTAGTGGTTCATGTGTCTCATCAGGATGTTCCCTGTCTCTTCTGTTGCTGGACTCGTATCAGCTCCAGCTGTTTTTTGCACTTCTGGAAGTACGTGGACAGACTCTTGTTCTCCTCCAGCAGCTTCTTGTGCTCCTGCACCAGACGAGATGTGTTCTGCTGGTCCTTCTCATCTTGGTCCAGTTCAGCAATCAGCTCCTTCCTGCACACACAGGATTCATCATCATCATCATCATCATCGCATTTCAGTCATTGCAATTTTGGAAGCCATCCAATGAGATTAAACTGAGGCAGCGTTTGCCAATAATTATCTAGGATTCTAATTTGTCCCACCGCAGTTTCATAATGAACCCAAATCTTTTTACACTTCTAATGACAACATAAGATATTTCTCAGTTGGTCTATTACTCCATCTAAGCAAGTTTTGATTTAGTTCTCTGTCAAATGCGAGAACTTGATTTGTACATTTCAAATCCAGATTCATGTTTTGGGCCCCTGAGTGATGCAGTGATGTTCTGGAGAGAAACACTGAACCACTGGATGCAGATCCAGAGTAAAGACAGGAGGTGTGAACGCAGCAGCGATCTTTGTAGAGAATTCTGAATCCAGCACGTTCTATAAATACCAGATGAGCTGTTTAGTCAAACACTTGTTCTGTGTGCTGCCTCTGCCTCAGATTTGTCTGCTAAATTTGGTGCTTGCCTTCGGTTTACTTTTCCTACTCTCACTGCTCCGCATTAAGATAATGTTAAGTTGTCATGGCGTGGTGATATTTATTCTGCTCTTGTGACTTGTGACAACGCACACAGAGGAGAACAGTTTTCCCTTCAGTGGTGATGCTCTCAAGTGAACTGATTTGACTCCACAAGCACAAACAGACCAGAAGAGGAAAAGTGGCAGCTTTGTTCTTACTTTCTCTGGATCAGCAGGGCGATCTCTGTCTGCACCTTCAGATATTCCTGGGCCATCT